CTGGCCACCCTGGAAATTGTGGTGTCTGCTGGGTGAATCGGAGGGAACCTCGTCTTGTAGCGCCTCCAAAACTGCTGCTTGGTGTCACGGAGTTCTGTCTCCCCAAGCATGGTGTCAAGATCGGAGAGCGCAATCTTGGATCGGTCTTGCTCCACCTGGCGATAGTAGAGCCCCACTGCTGCCCATGCCCTGCGCACCCGGGCTGTCATCAGCAGGGCTTTGTCTCCCAGGCCTAGCTTAGCGACCCATGTTTCAATGGCTTGCTCAGAGGCCCATAGGAACCTAAACTCTTGCAAGCTCTCCACCCCCAACCGGAGCAGGGCATCAATCACCCCGTCATCCAACGAGAAGTTGTCACCCAACTTCCTAAGGATTTCTTCGGGGGAACCCTTTTCCAGTGGGACTTTGTCAGTTTCCATGGCCTGAATTGGAGGACACCCCTCTATCTAAGGCCCAGGGATCCCCTCCCTTTGATTGAAAACTGCGCCTCGGGTCTCCCCCGTGCAGTGTGCTCGAGTGCCTGACATGTCGATCGATCCGTCCAAAAACTGTCTATGTTAAAACTACTGGTCATGTGCAAACTCCCTACAGCAATGTATGAACTTCGCATGAAATCTCCTTCATGAAGTCACACAGCTGTAGCATGCCAACCCCTGTGGAGTCCCCCTCCCAGGTGTGAGTTGCACAAAAATAGAAAATGGAAAAACTGATCAAACGCAAATTGCAAGTGAAGTCAACTCAGTGGGATCCCCACTGTGACTCGGCAACGCCTTTTTCATCGCACACGAAGTCACTGCTGGGGGCGGTCATGCAGGCTGGATTGATGCTCTTATCCAAGCCCCGAGCTGTTGAATTCGGCTCTCCTTCGCCGGAACGGGCCAATGCTGCTAAAATAGCGCAAAGGCCAAAAATTCGGCAGGTCAGGCCTAGGCCGGTGGCCACCACGACGCCAGCGCTCGGCGGAGGCACTGGTCACATTAGGGTTCACCAGGCGCTTCGCCTTCCCGTCGGCCTGCTTGTGCTGGCACAAGGTGATGCCATCCTCGACCGTGACATGGGTGCTTGAGCGATCTGTGGCTGCATACCCCTGTGGCTCAGGGTGCTGTGTTCCCACAGCAGTGTCTTGGAAAGCTTGGTGCAGCCACTTCTTCATGCCTCGATCCTTGATCACCTTGTGCAGCTCTGTGTCACGACGATCTTCGACGTACTTGTTGGCATCCTCAATGGACTCATTGGCCAGCAATGCACGGCAAAGCACACCTAGGAAAGCACCCCGGTGTCGGCCCTTGATGCAATGCACCAAGACATTGTCTCCATGCCAGACTGTGTTTTTCACAGACGTCAGTCCATTGTTCATTGCGTTCCTGGCTGTATGCCGCCGCAAAGGTCATCAACTGAGCCCCCGGGAGGGTCACCCCCCCCGGCTCTCAGGACCATGCAGGAAACAGCAGATCTGCAACGCCGTCTTGGGGAACTTGTCCACGGTCTGTCGCATTGGGAGCCCTGCCAAGTAGATGCTCCCGCCCTTCCTGGACGTCCAGATGCAGGTAGGGGCTTGGGCCGTGCCAGACCCCACTCCTAAGCGCTCCAGGTGCTCATCCAGGGCATGACGTGTGGCCTTCCCGCGGCCCTTCTTCGGCATAGCTTTCACCTGCGGTTTGCCAGGAGCCGACTTGGTCGCTGCTTTCATGGGAGCTTTCGGCATCGCCTTTGGAGGTGTCTTTGGAGCCGCAACTGCTGTCGCCTTCGGCGGAGTCTTGGGGGCTGCCTTTCCTCTGGCCTTCTTCACAGCCGCCCTCCACGTCTGCGACCTCATCATCTGTAGTGCTGCTTGCCGCAGCCCTCTTCCTGGTGAATTGAGCCTTCTCTCCTAAGGCTGCTGGCACCAAGGTGGCAGACGGCTTGGGGGCCGTAGAAGACGCAGCCATGACTGCGCGCTTGATGTTGCCTCCAGCTCCGCGTTTGCCACCACATGCCCGTCCCGACTTTTGCAAGATAGCGCATAAGTGCACTCCGAAGGGGCAGGTGTCTGCAGGGTTCGGGCACTCGTCCGTCTGGAAGTCGGGGCATATGGCCTTGCCGTTCTTCAATGTGGCAGTCAGCACTTTGCCGTTGAGTTGATCAGGCATCTGAGGTGCTGGAGCTGCTTCCGCCTCTTCCCTGGCTGTTGCGCCGCTTCCACAAACTGCTGAGACAGCTTCAGCCTCTTTCTCACATCCTGGAAGCTCTGCGACGAGGCCCAAATTGGCTGACGATCTTGCCTCAGCAATCTGTCTGCCTCGGCTAAGCCATGGTTGCGGGCGGCCTCCAACTCTGCCTGTGGGATCGCCTCCCAGAGCAGGTTGCTGGTCAGCTTTCGCCGTTGCGCCCCACACCAAGGACTTGACCTTGATCGAGGCCGCATATTTGGCCGACGAATAGTAGTGGAATGCCATCCGGCCCACCTCTGGCTGCTCCCCTTTGTTCTGCCAGTCTCCCAAGGCGGCCATCTCTTCGGGGCGGCATTCCAACAACTGGGCGACGGTCGGTGCCATGCGACGCCACGAGTAGGTGGTGATGTCCTCTGGATTGTCCAGGAAGACGGCCATCTCGTTCTGCATCGTCTCTTGCACCTCCAGGATCGTCCATGGGCGCCCTTCGTCTGAGAAGCAAAGCCCGGCTAGCCTCTGTCGTGCTGGTGCCAGTGTCCTGTAGGCTTCCAACACCTCCTTGGCCCAGAAGAAGCCGTTGGCGAAAGTGGCTGGCACAACAAAATCGAAACCTTCACGGGCATGCTTTTGTTTGCCCTTGGGGCACCTGCAATGGAGGAATGCGGCCGTGAGGCGTCGAGGTTCTGATCGCGCTATGTGCGCATACCTCAAACAGCCAAATGCCATGACCCAAGGGGCCAGCAAGACTGACCACCTTTCATCTCCGACCGCGTGCATCTCCACGATGCGGTCCTCCAAAGCCTGCACAAGTGGTGGCTCTACCACTGGTGCTTGCCCACGCTGCCCAGTCGCCCTGGGTGTTGCAGGCACTTGCAAGTTTCCCAGCTCGATCTTGGTCGGCGTTCTTGTTCATCCACTTCAAGGCCTGGAGTGCTCGAGAAGGTGCCTGAGTATGGTTCAGGAACTGATCAAGGTCTACCATCTCTGGAGGAGCGGGTCGCCCCCGACTCTGCAGGAAGGATCTCAGCGCCAACCATGTGTTCACCACTCGGTCAATGGTAGCCTTTTCTGCGTCCTTCACCTTCTTCTCGGCAATCCTTCTGCACGTTTGCTTCCATTCCACCTTGAGGTTGTCTGTCAAGATGCCTGCTGGTTTGTACGCGCCCATGCCAATGAACATGGAGACCAAGCCATTCACCCTCTTCTGAACGGCTTCACTCAGGTTCTTGTCCACGTTGATGGCTTTGGGCTTCTTCTTGCAGATCGTCTTGCGCACAGGGCGAAGAGTTACCGAACCCTTAGGGTTGTCCTCCACGACTTTGGCCCCAGCTGCAAGGAGCTCTTCCTTGGCCTCGTCTGAAGCCAGTCATCAGCCACGTGATGTCCAGCAAGCCCCACGACTTGGTCGTAGTCTGTGTAGGCATAGGCAAAGTCGTTGTCGTCCAGGAGTCCTTCGCCTTCTCTCCATTGGCGCGCCCTTTGTGCAGCGATCATCATCAAGGAGTCGGCAGCTCTCCATCCCGGTGCAGGGTCGCCCCCTGACGAAGATGAGGCCGCCGCTTGTGCTGCATAGTAGCCCTTGCCGCCTGATGCCATGGCACTGCACCCTATCAAAATTGCTAAGGTGCGGAGAGCAAAAAGATGCTGCGGTGACTTCAGAGGTGCCGCCTCTGTCGTAATGTCAACCTTCAGCAAACATCTTCTTACGTCCTCCACAAAGTCCACATGGCTGCCTCCAGGTGAAGCAGGCACTACACATCCCCACGCAGCATGACCAACACACGCGCCTTGTAGGGTCTCCGCACTCAGTGCAAGCTGTTCCGAGTTGCAGCACCCCTGCATCTTGGCCTTCCAGCCAGCCACATAGTGCTCGATGAGCCCTCGCACCTTCTCTTCCCCAGACTGGCCAGGGTCGCCCCCTGGCAGCCCGAGGGAAAAGGCGTGGCTCAATGAAGATCGGGAGGAGCTCATGGGGGCCCATGCATCTGAGCCAAGTCCTCCACTGTTCGAAAACTTCCCCGAGGCCCAGCTGCCCAGCGTCACCTGCTGTGCATCTGAGCTGCAGCCCATAGAGGTCTTGGGGTACAACGTCAGCTGCCACCTTGAAACTCGTGTATGCAGCCACCAGCAGCAAGTCCATGGGGTCCTGGTGCTGGCAGTAGTAATCCCAAGCATCCGCGGGCGCCACATCATCGGGCAGCACAACTCCCCGGCTGTTCCACAATCCAAGCCACGGGAACTTGAACCCTCCAATATGGGCTGCGCAGCGCTTGCAGTCGTCGACACAACAAGGCATCTTCGGCAATGGGGGGAAAAGCTCAGAGTCTGTCCCAGTGGTAAGGACGCAGGGGGAATGCAAGACTTCAACCCCGTGCATCCAGCAAGTGTATGCGGCCAGGTCAGACCCCTCCCTTGCCAGCCTTTCCACGTGGCCCTTGAACTCCAGAAACGCAGCAGGATCTTCGCCTCAGTGGCTGCGAGTTTGCGCTGCATACAAGGTCACCCCTTGTGTTGAGTTTGAACCACCCAATCAAGGTCTAGGAAGGTCACCCCTTACCCAGACCAAGAAAGAAAGTGCAATGAATGCTATTTATTTTGGTTCAGGTTTACTTGAGCCAAAATGATAGCATTCATTGAAGCACTTAAAGATGATACATGCACACCCAAGCCTGCCAAACTCAATGCATGGGTATATATGATGTGTCTCTATGTACCATGATTTCCTATGATATATACCATTGCATCCCAAAATATCTCCCAGATTCTCCCAGTACATCCGAACATCTCAATATATTCCATGAATTTCCATGATATCCCAAGATTTCCCAATGTTTATCTCCCAGTTTGCACCTTGGCATCCAGCAAATATTTCACCGCCAGGGGTTCAGGTTCGTCCTCCTCCAATGCGGCCATCAAGGGCGTGGTCCCGTTCTCGTCCGCCGCATTGACGTCAGCCTTGTGTTGCAACAGCAGCTGTAAGGCATCAGGGTCCCAGACGGCCAGGTGTAGGGCTGTCTGCTGGTGGTTGTTCACCGCATTGACCTTCAAGCAACAGGGAAACCTGCATGTTTTCTGAGTTGGGCTGTTGTATATTTGGAACATGTTGGAAGTATAATAGTAAAATGTCAAGGGAAACATGGAAAAAAAACTGGCGACCTCTGTTTTTTGGCTTGTATATTAGCGAGCCTGCAAAAATTCAATGGAATAGGTAGAAAGAGCCGGATTTGAATTCCTCTTCTGAGGAAAAGGTTGGTGACCATGCTTAGCGGATCCCCAATTTTTGGATTATAATCCCAAGAAATGAACGGCTTACATGTCACAGTTTCTGACCAATTACAAAGCGAGATGATTGTCCAAGAGAGGTCATCAAAATCCAACGGGGCGGAACACTGCACTTTTCCCAAGGATTTTCGGTATCCGCACCTCTGCCCCGGCGTCCAATAAGGGGGTAATCATACGTGTGTCGATATAATATCTCCCTTTCAGCACCGCGACGGATAGCGGAGTCAAGCCCTTGCTGTTCTTGGCGTTGAGATTGGCTTTGGCATCCACCAGCAACTTCACCTTGGCATCCACAGCACATTGCCGGGAACGTCCCAGTAGACTTCTTGGTGAAATGGAAGGCCACATAAATGTCATCTTCCAAAGCCATCCGTTTGAGATTCCACACTAATTTGCACATAGGAGATGCTGGGAAGCGGAATGTGCAAGCAAAAAAAAACCTTGGTCTTGACGACAAATTGAATTCTACGACTTGGTACACGTGGTGAGATGCACGCTAAGTTCCGAGATAGCCCCATTGGTGGCCATCAAAGCATTGGGAAAATGATGAGAGACCATGATATACCATGATAAATCACTCTGGATTTTTTTCGGTACTGTATCTCCCATTTTTGGACAAAGCCAATGAGAAAATCGCTCAGCGAGCGAGTCACGATCTCGTAGTCGCCACTCTTGACACATGCTTTATGGAGAGGCGTCTCCTGCATATCATCCACGGCATTCACATTGGCTTTGTATTCGATCAGTGCCTGAGTTTGGGCGCCCGGATGAACTATGGGATTTGTGGCTACCCTATTGAATTCAGACAAAGCCACATGAGGATTTTTGGTCAAAAGCCACTGGAATTCTTGACAATGTACTAGATTTGACCCTCCACTTTTCGAGTTTCACTCCCTTCTCGCATGGTCAATGGTCAATTTTTGTTTCCATCTCCAACCCGGCCTTCACTGTCCAAAAATTGTTATTTTTGACGGCGCTGAACAAGGGAGCGCCACTTTTACCCGGCGGGTCCACTTTGGCCCCATATCTCACCAACTCCCTGATGATTTTGACATTGCCGTTGCCGGCCGCCTCAATGAGCGGAAAGCCGCCACCTGGCGCGAGCAGTGCGTCCCTATGGCATATGTAAGGTAACAAAAACACATTATCAAAGGAAGTTTAAGAAGAACCTTCCGAGTTACAAAACAATTCAAATACCTCAACAATACATTACCTTAACAAATACATTACCTCAACAAATACATTACTTCAACAATTCATCACCTCAATCATTATCTCAACATCACATTAACACCACATTACCACAACAATTGCGTTACTTCAACAACACGTTACTTCAACAATACATCATCTCAACCACGAGCTCAAGATCACGTTCCCACAACAACACATTACCTACCTCAACATCAAATTACCTCAACACCACATTACCACAACAATACATTACCTTAATAATACATGTCTAGTACATGATCTCAAAATCACATAGCCTAAACAATAGATTACCTCAATCATCACCACAAGAAGTACACCCCTTTACCACCACGACAAATACCTGACAACAACAAAACATTCCCTCAACATCACATTGGTGCAACAAAACATTACCGCCAACAGTACATTACTCAACAATGCATTATTTACTATCACAACAAATACAGTACTGCAACAAAACAACAATCACTACCTCAACATCACATTACCTTTAAAAAATACATTACCTCAACATCACATTACCTCAACAAATACATTACTTCAACAATGCATCACCTCAATCATACACTACTTCTGCAATACATCATCTCAACCATTACCCCAACATGACATTACCTCAACAATACATCACCTCAACATCACATTACCTCAACAATACCTCAATTACCATAACACATAGAGTACCACAACGAACACATTATATCAACATCACATTACCACCACAACCAATATACAACATCACATTACCTCAACAATACATTACCTCGACATCACACTACCTCAACAATACATCACCTCAATATCACCACAAGAAGTACATTACCACAACAAATACATGCGTGACTAGTTCAGCAAAGTGGTGGTGGCTGCCACAAGGTTGTTTTAGCCAGCTTGGCAAAGCTGTAAATAGCAATATTTCGTGTGTTTGTTGGGTCGGTTTGGGAGGTTGTCGGGTTGGCGGTTGCGGATATGGCTGTTTTAGTCCTCATTGTGTACCTAGAACACCAAAGTTGCTGCAAATGTCTTGGGATTTTTGCAAACTTGACGCTTTAGGTAAAGTGGCAGCGTTTTTTTCGGCTTCTGCCGAAGTGCAGCGATTTTTGTAATTGAACAATATTCCATCAAAAGACGCGTTTGTAGTCCAAACCATATCCACATATACGGCATGACTCTCGTGGTAGAAAAGTGACAAGAGGGTTGGGAGGGCGCAAGAATTTCACCAAATATTGCCTGCGGCGAAAAAAAAAAACATGTGAAAACATGTGAGGTTTCATTCCCGTTTTTCATCGAAGTCTCCAAAATATTGCGCCACGAACGATGAGCTTGAGGCGTCCGAAGTACTGAATTCAGTCCAAGCGTGCCAGATATTGCACATATTGCGTGCCACGGAAAGTCACCTCCGGAACGCTTTAGCAACGCTAGCGTGATTCTCACCTGCCACACGGATGAAAAAGTGTCCGAAATCTTGCGCCTGCCGTTTTTGGGACGAGGCTCAGACCCTTCAAACTGCCGAATTGTTTGCGCCTGTGACACAAACATGTTACTCTTGCGCGAGAAGCTGGGAGGAAACTTTTCTGCGAGACTGTCGACAAAACTCCTGCCCGCTCCTGCGAAGCCTCACGGCCTCTAACAGCTACATACAGCTACCATAAGAACCCCTTGCTGTGGACACACTCTTTGGGGGAAAGTGCCAGCTGCCAATGATTCACCACAAAATGAACAGTTCCCGACGAGAACGACGTCCCGCCATCTTCATCATTCACTTGAGCTCCATGTTTCAACAAAAGCTTCACAATTTCAAGGTAGTTCTTGTAGATAGCTGTACCCAAGGCCGTTATGCCATCTGAGGTCCTAGGTTGGGCACGAGAAAAGGGCACAGATTTTCCCAGGTTTGGTACCTCCAAAAATTGGCCTTAATTTTTCATTTACAGAATAGGGAAAATGTGGGAAAATTATATTCTAAATGGTTAACCTTCTAAACCATGAACGGTTATATAATTGAAAAATACATGAAACATCTTGAAATCACTCCCTGACTGGATGCAAACTCCATTGAAATTCGATGGTGCATCTTAGCATTTCGTCCGGGGAAGATTCATCAAAAAGAAACGTGAAAATATTTTGGGTTCCGTTGATTTAAATGAAATTGCTATAGCTTGGGTTAGTGGTTAGTTCCCCCATTCCCAAAACAAAGACACCCCGCAGCGTCGCACCAAGCTACACGCGGTGCACGCAGAACGGGTCATCCTGCAACTCCTGTTTGACCTTCGCCACGTCTCCTGATCTGACGTCACAAGTCAAACTGCTCCGCAGGGCCTGGACAACGCCACAGATGGGGTGATCCTCACCATAAAGAGGTCACTTTGAATGGCCTGGCAATGGATCATAAACCCATGGATGATTCAGTACTGGATGGTTAACCAATGGATAACTATGATAAATGCTCAAAATATGCCAAATATGATAAGTAATCAATTAACCAATCAAAATATGGTAAACTATCAAAACATTTCAATGGATAGAATTGGTGAAATGGGGTACTGTGAGAGATCATCCGTGGCTTGATCGGTGAGAACAGGGCCAATCTCAATGATCAGAAGTGGTTGGGTGAAACACCCTCAAAATTCTGGACTCAATCCACAACAATGATGGGTTTGAACTCACCACCACATTATGACATTGGTGTGTGCTAATATGGTCTTCTTGGGGGTGCAGTGCAGTTCCAGTTATAACTTGATATATACATACATATGCATATACAACCACAGTTATAGGTGCCCCATATCCAACTGATGGGGGTTCCTACCATGGTTTAACTCACCAATGGAAGTTTTCCCAGGCCCCCTTCGACCCTTTGATGTCGTGCCGAGACTCCTGCTGCTTGGCTTCATGGTCCACGTTCCGCATCGCATGGCCCACTTGGCCCACGGCAACGGCGGCGATCACGAAAGCACTTGGCCACGGCATGTTTTTCAAGCGACGGAAGGCTCAGAACGAGAAAATGATAGGACTGAAGAACTGCTTCAAAGCGGCAGAGTGGCTGCAGCAATTATGCCTGAAAAATGTTGGTGTATCTTAAATCAGTATCTCAAGTACTGATGATCCTGGAGCTGCTCCGAAAAACACTTGAAACCAGGATTGGATAATGATGAAAACAAATGGTGATTGAAATTCGGTATACCCCAAGTATCCGTAAATCCACTACACTGAAGCCCATCTTGAGACACATCCAGTCCCATGTTCAGTCTCATCCATTGTCTACATATGTATATATATATATATACACATATATACATATGTGTGTGTACAATCTCATCACATGCCCTCAATCCGGCCTTTCCAGATCGCCCAAGCGGCAAAGAACAGAAAACCTGGCAGTCTGACATTTGACATTTGGCTGAGTGAAGAACTAAACGACCATTTCTTGTTTCTGTAGGTCAAGTGTCTTGTGCTGCATAGTAAGGCAGCTCAAGCAGCTCAACACTCAAACTCAGGTAGAAGTCCAGGGCATGAAACCCTACACGGTGTTTCGGTTCAGAGTGATTACCTTACGTCTTAGATCTGCGTGGGTCATCCTTCTAAGTGCTGCTTGCGATACACAAACACAAAATGGTTCTGTCTGAAAACATAGAATAATTACCCCAAAACCCTTTGGCTTATCATCATCGTTCAGATAAAAATGGTTATGTTGGGGTCTGCCTCGTTTCTTGACAATTTCAATGAACTTCAAGACTGAGACAGAAATAAGAGACCCAACAACCAAGACAACAAATGCGATAAAACCAATTTTTGTTATATAAGTGGGGTTAACTACCCAAATTCGAAATAAATACTGTATTCATCTGTATTCAACATGATCTTCGTGGTGCTATCATTGCGCAACTTGGCAACGCTCCGGTCCTCCGAGGCCATTGCGCCCGCGGGAGAGTTCGGGGAGCGGCGACAGGTGAAACGACTGTGTTTGACCGTCTCTCTAGTGGTTGGTTCTTGGGCAGAATCCAAAAGTTTGGGGAAAGAACACTATTATGGAGAACTGAAGTGAAATTTCTCTTGGGTTATCAGTTGTCAAAAAAGAGGTGTCTTCTCAACTATGAAATTTAGTCAGTGACTTTTCGCAGATTCAAGCAAGGTGCAAGGTGTCTGTCATTGGCGCATGTTTATCTATAGGTGTTTTTGTTTCGGTGATTGTTGGCATGGAATTTCATTGCGGATATGGGTGGATAGGGGCTGCACAAAGTCTGTCACCTTACTCTGGTCTACCGCCTGCAATTTCGACGTGTTTGAATATGATGCCTGCTTTGAGCTGGGAAACTGCTCGCAACCATGTCAGTGCAAGCTGTGCCGAATATACCACGTTTCACCCGTTACGACAACCCAGTGGTTGGTCCGTTTCACTGAGGAGATTTTGTATATGAAAAATGTGGGATATGTGAGGTATAAGGACATGTGCAAGAAATAAAAACAGTTATTCTGTTATTCTCAGGTATTTTTGTTTATCCATATGTTATTGATGCTATGTGTGCTGAAATGTGGAAAAAATGTAGAAAAACACAGTGTATATATATACATATATATACACGTATATTTACTTATTTATTTGTTTATATATATATATATATTTATTTATTTATTCATCAATATATATATATATATACATGCATACACATTAATGTGTTTTTGACAAAATCTGGCAGAGCACTGAACGTCTGTTTTCACCACGCTTTCTTTGAGCCACTGTTTGGGCACAACGTGCATTGAGATCCATGTGTGTGTCATCCATGGCCATGCTAATCTTCTCTGTATCACCTCAATCCACCTGGAGCCTACTGCATGCATGAGCACGATGGAGTAAATTTGACACCCCACCTTGGCTTTGCATCTTTTCAAGATGTGAAGCCATCTCACCAGTTTTGGCCAGTTACCAGGCCATCTGTGCTTTCATGAATTTGGGCTCCAGAAAAAGTGGTCATGAGGTAAATTAGCTAGCCGTCTCTCACTTTGGAACGCAAAGGTCAGTTGGTGTTTGTTTCCACATACCTGAGGCCTCATGCATTGATTGCTCACCACAGGCATAGTCCAACTGTTTCAAATTCTTATGCCAAATCCATCAGTGATCGAACTTCTGCCATTGCTCGGCTGTAGTGTGATGCCTCTTCCCAGTTCGCTGCTGCCTCTGCATCCTGTCTTCTCTGTAGAAGGATCTGATAGGCACGCCTGAGTCGCAACTGGTTGGCATTTGAGAAGGCAACCATACGTTCGTGATCCCATTGGTCACGTGAGCCGTAATGCACTTCTGCCCATTCTTCTGGATCACTGACTTCAGACATACTGCTCTCCAAATATCGTCTTCGACGTCCTCTAGGAGTCTCGTCCATGTCTTCATCTTCATCCTCACCATCTGCTCCAACTTCTCGATCTCGCTGTTCATCTGCCATTGTTTCAGTGACTGCTCTGTCGACTGTGTGGCCATTCAACTGTCTGGCATGTTGGTATGCCAGCTCAGCAATGTCATCATCTGGTCCAAAAGGTTCCGCCATTGGTTCGTCTTGAGCTTCTTCCATTGGTTCCTCATTGCGCACCAAGTCTGCTGCTGCACCGATCAAAGTCTGTCCACCTGTCAAGTATTCATCAATAGCTTGGAAAACATTCTCGCTGTCAACCATCATGTCACCACGTTGACCTGCAGCCCGAAAACGAGCATGGAGGTAGGTGATTTCATGTCGCAGCATCCACCAAGAAACCCACAGACTCGGTCGAATGAACCACCTGTAGCGAAAACCCATGAGACCTGGAGCATTGCGTGTTGTAAATCCTTGTAGAGCTCGAAGATTTCTCCAAACCAATGGTCCACCAATCATCAAAATCACTGAAGCCAAAAGTGTACAGATACCTGCTAACTGCACCATGAGAAAAAGAATCCAGATGCATACCGTGGAGATGAGGTGAAGCACTGCTAACAGCCATCCAAGTGTAGACTCAACTACTGTCCACCACACCATCTGAAAGTCGTCAATGTTGTCGCCTGTACCACCATCATGTCCACATCCTTTCAGCTGCATACACATGTTCATTGTGATGCCAGCCATCTGCACCTGTCTCACCACATGTTCTCGTGTCATCTGATTCAATCTCCTGATCTGGCGCACTGTGTTTTCTCCCGTTAAATGCTAAAGTCTGTTTGACACATAACACAAAAGGGGGCCTGCGTTCAGTTTCCCTAAGCTCGCACTAGTTACGCATACAAACTAGCGCACCTAAAAATCATCCTCACCAAAACCCCCAAACACAAACTCCAAAACAAATGAAAACGTCTTTGACGTCGTAAATCACTCGCCGTTTGAAAAATTTCCTTCTTCGCAAAACGGATGCAAATCAAAAACACTCACATGAAAAATGGTGGACATGAGTGCTGGTGAAAACGGACAGTCGCAATTCCTTTTTTCCAATCTGGCTTGACGGTGCAAGCTGTCTGGGGAGAAACCGTGCTGAGGACGTTCGGCAAAAAAGGTGTTCAGGCACGTTCTTTCTTGTAGCAAGAAACCATTCAAGCTGCTGCAGTCAGGTTTGCAACATTCTCGCTGGTCGGCTACTTACCCCTGGAAATTGGGGTGGGATTTTGGGTGGGACAATGTCTAGAATCGGCCAAGCCCCATCTGGCATTCCATTCTGACAATTACGTATTATATATATAAATATATAAACGTGCGTATTTAACGGGTTACGTCGCATCGCCAGGTGTATAAATAGAAACTGAACCAAATATCCATATTCATAAAAACGCGTAAATCAAACTGCAGCACACGAAATGAAAACGTGAAATCAAACACATGGATTGTGAATGGATGTGCGGATGGCGCTCACTCTTCTTTTTCTGACACGCTGGGGATTCTCAGTCGGTATTGGAGAGGCAACGTGTTGCTTTCACCCAACCGGGTGTATTGCTCAGTTCCCGGTTTTTGGTCATGGGTTTTTTGTAACCTTTCGAGTTGTTGTTCATCTCGAAAGTTCTTCGCATCGCAAGCATAGTTTGAGTAGTATACTATGCTTTCTCGGTTGTTGCCCCCCCCAGGGTGGGATGCTAAAGGCATCTGAAAGGGTGGGCTGAAAACGAAAAACCCTTGAGATTGGATGGCTACACGTATTGCCAGTGAAACTGAAAACAATGGATTATGAACTGTTCGCTCAACGCTTCACAGATGTGTGTGGTTGAAACCAACTGATTCTGTAAATGCGTTTTAAGTTTGATTTGACAGTTGTTTAAAATTTTGTTTCTGCCAGAAAAATACAAACTAAATTTGTTTATGCACACGTTCCGTTGGTTTGCTGCACAGGTTACGCGTTATACATAAATATGGATCATTGGAGCTAACTGTCTTCTTGTTTGTATATACGCACGAGTATGGATTGCTCAGTGTTTGGTTTTCGGTTCCCTGACAGGTTCAGGTTATTTACCAGAAGGGGCTTACGCTTCGAAACTACGCTGTCCTGCTTTTAGACATTGCGATCACTACGTGAGAGCACTCGTCTAAAATCGGCCAAGCCCCATCTGGCATTCATTCTGACAATTACGTATTATATATATAAATATATAAACGTGCGTATTTAACGGGTTACGTCGCATCGCCAGGTGTATAAATAGAAACTGAACCAAATATCCATATTCATAAAAACGCGTAAATCAAACTGCAGCACACGAAATGAAAACGTGAAATCAAACACATGGATTGTGAATGGATGTGCGGATGGCGCTCACTCTTCTTTTTCTGACACGCTGGGGATTCTCAGTCGGTATTGGAGAGGCAACGTGTTGCTTTCACCCAACCGGGTGTATTGCTGTTCCCGGTTTTTGGTCATGGGTTTTTTGTAACCTTTCGAGTTGTTGTTCATCTCGAAAGTTCTTCGCATCGCAAGCATAGTTTGAGTAGTATACTATGCTTTCTCGGTTGTTGCCCCCCTTTGTTTGGAGA